TATATATATATATATATATATATATATATATATATATATATATATATTGTTTACTAAAGAGTTCACACACACCACAGTGTATATGTTGTTTGTCATGTAAGACCTCCATTGCTCTCAAGGTACAGCATGTTTGCAATGCAGAATAATTCCTTACATGACCAGTGTCTATGTGTGATTCCATGATTGGCTGTTACCTTACTGGGAGACCTGAATTTTAAATTTTTATTAAATATTCATATCTATAGGATGTGGCTGCTGGGAATTGAACTCAGGACCTTTGGAAGAGCAGACAGTGCTAACTACTGAGCCATCTCTCCAGCTTCTAAATTGTACCATTGTTGATGAATAAACATACTTAAAAAAAATTTAGTCAGGACTGGCAAGATGGCTTAATGATTAAGACAGTTGCTGCTCTAGCAGAGGACCTGGGTTCAGTTCTCAGCATCTGTATGGTGGCTTGCAGCTGCCTGTAACTTGTAAGGTGGCAGGGAACTTAACGCCCTCTTGACCTCCACAGGCTTCCATGTACATAGTGTGCATACACGCACTCAGGAACACACACACGCACACTAAAGGAGTAAATATTCCTAAAAAGTTAAATTTAAACCTCAGCCTACATTCTTCTATAGTGTTATTGGTAATCCCAGATTTAAACTCTCAGGAGTGTAAGGTGGCCAATGGATAGAGGAAAGGGAGTGAATAATTTTGTATTCTGTCTTGTCTTCCTTTTTCTGGGTGGCTGTTGGGGATTAGAAAAAGAAAGCAAAGTGGCCTCTTGTTAGAAGACGAAGAGGAAGATGGCAAGGAACAATCTGGAGGCAGCAGTAGTGAAGAAGATGAAGAAGCGCAAGAAGGGGACCTTGGGTCAGAGAATGCAAGAAAGAAGAAGGAAGATGAACTGTGGGCCAGCTTCCTCAATGATGTGGGACCAAAGTCGAAAGCAGCCCCAAGCTCACAAGTTAAGGTGAGCTGAGAAATTGGCGGGATAAAGACCAGAGACACCCTCAGTTCCTCAGTAGCTTCCCTTTTTAAAATTTACAAGCTGACTGACTTGAGATTTGAATCTCAAAGCGAAAAGCAAACTAGATGCCTTTTGATATTGTCTTCACTAAGGGAAAAACAAAGCATTCCTTAACAGTAGAGAAAATGAGCTGTTTTAATCAGATAAATTTCTAGCAGATCTTTATAAACTTTTATTTAAAGATTTATTTGTTGGACTGGAGAGAAGACTCAGTGGTTAAGAGTACTTACTGCTCTTCCAGAGTTCCTGAGGTTAATTTTCAGCACACTTATCAGGTAGTTTACAAATGCTTATAAGTCTAGCTCCAGGGGATCTGTTGCCTTCTTCTGATCTCCAAAGACACCTGTATATATGTGGCTTAGGTCCCACCCCCCACATATATATAAATAAAAATTTAAAAAGATTTATTTGCTACTATTTTCAATTATGAGTATATGTTTGTGCCTGTGTGGGTATTTGCTTGTGAGTACAGGTGTCCAAATTGGCCAAAGGCATTAGATTACCCTAGAGCTGCAGTCATAGGCGGTTTTAAGTTACCTGACATAGGTGCTAAGAACTGAGCCCAGGTCCTCAGCAAAAGTTATTATCATTGCTTAATATTTATTTATTTGATACTTTATTTAATTTATTTAATACTTATTTATTATGTATACAATGTATGCCTATAGGTCAGAAGAGGGCGTCAGAGCTCTTTAGAGATTGTTGTGAGCCACCATGTGGTTGCTGGGAATTGAACTCAAGACCTCTGGAAGAGCTACCAGTGCTCTGATCCTCTGAGCCATCTCTCCAGCTCTTGGTGAAAAGTCTTAACTGCCAAGCTACCTCTCCAGCATCTCCAATAGACCTCTTTTATGTTATTTTATTTTTTTACGTACATAGGTGATTTACTTGCATGCATGTCTTGTAGTGCCCATGGTGGCCAGAAGAGGGCATCCGTTTTCTGGAACTGGAGTTATAGATGGCTCTGAGCCCCTTTATGGGTTCTGGAAATCTAACCTGGACGCTCTGGAAGAGCAGTCAGTGTGCTTAAGTATTAAGCCATCTCTTCAGTCATCTTTTAACTGATTGGAGATGAAATATGAGAGAACAGCCCTAAGCAACATGTTCAGGTAGTTTTTTCAGTCTTACACTTTGGTGAAAGCGATTGATTGATTGATTGATTGATTGACTGATTGATTTTTGAGGCAGGGTCTCACTGTGTAGCCCTGGCTGTCCTAGAACTGTGTAGACCAGGCTGGCTTCAGGCTAACAGAGATCCTGAGTCTCTGCCTGCTGAGTGCTAGGCAGAGGTGTGCCTTACCACGGGCCTGATTCCATTTATTTCTCTTTTTCTAGGCAGCAGAGGAGACTGAAGAGACTAGTTCAAATAAACCATTGCTTAAAGCAGATGAGCTAGAGAAACCTAAAGAGTCAGAAAAGGTGAAAATTACCAAGGTGTTTGACTTTGCTGGTGAAGAAGTGAGGTAAGAGGATTTTCACAGTTTGCAACTCTGTGGCCGTCCAAGTGCTGCTCCACATCTGCCCTGGGCTCCGCCCAGGTTGCTGCTTTGCCTGAGTATCTGCATTTGGAAATTTGTGTTTCCATTTGCTCATTGCCATGCTTCGTGCTTTGGGTAAAGCATTTTCTTTCCATTGCTGTGAGACAGCAGCCCAGTGAGATCTCTAAATCAGGCAGGAATTGAAAATACTAGGAAAAAAATTGGGTTCATTATAATTTGTTACTTTAATATTGTTTGAATTGGTTTGCATTTATTTAGTTTAGTGTATAAAAGCAGTTTATTTTAGAGCTTTTGAGTAGTTAAGCCGCTTGGCGGCTGGCTTGCTTGCTTGCTTGCTTCATTTCTTCACTAATTTATTCATTCATTCATTTATACACAAGGTCTCACTGTGTAGCCCTGCCTGTCCTGGAATTCACTATGTAGACCAGGCTGGCCTCGAATTCACAGAGATCCACCTGCCTCTGCTTTCTGAGTGCTAAGGTTAAAGGCATGTGCCACTAAGAGAGCTTTTTTGGGTTTTTGGTTGATTTGTTTTGATTGTTTTGTTGGGGTTTTCCGGGATGTTTTAATTAAGAACCACATGCCTGGAATTTTCACTTCCCTCATTTGTTAAATTTATAATGTAAAAGCAGTAGTTCTATAATTTAGAGCTAAATAAGAACAGATGAAATTTCTTTCTCTCTTTCTCTTTCTGTCTTTCTTTCTCTTTCTCTCTCTCTCTTTCCCTCTTTCTCTTTCTCTCTCTCTTTTCTTTCTTTGTTTCGTTTTCGAGACAGGGTTTCTCTGTGTAGCCCTGGCTGTCTTAGACTCACTTGTAGACCAGGCTGACCTTGAACTTACATTGATCTGCCTGCCTCTGCCTCCCTGAGTGCTGGGATTAAAGGAGTGAGCTGAGCCTCCTCAGATTCTTAAATCCCATATATTAAGTGGTATTAGTGTCAGTATATAACCTATGTACAACCTCTTTTCTACATTAAATACCTGATTTGTAATACTTGATAATGTAAATGCCACCTAAGTAGCACAGTATGAAGGCACTGGCGATAAGAACTATATGTGTATACATTCTGTGCAGATAGGTTTTCCCCCTAAATGTTTTCTGCCCATATTAGTTGATCCATGAAATATAACTCACTAAAACACAGCTTTCATGCATGGCAGAAGAGGGAATCATATTCCGGTTACAGATGGTTGTGAGCCACCACGTGGCTGCTGGGAATTGAGCTCAGGACCTCTGAAAGAACAGACAGTGCTCTTAACCACTGAGACATCTCTCCAGCTCACAGTACAGCTTTTTAAAATTTCTTTAGATTGTGTCTCATTGTAGCCCTGGAACTCACTATGTGACCCAAGATGGATGGACTTATGATATTCCATCTGCCTCAGCCTCCTGAGTACAGAGGCTATATGCATAAACTACCATGCCCATCAAAACTTTTATTATTTTATGTGTGTGGGTCTTTTTGCCTGTGTGTATGTCTGTGTGCCATGTACATGCCTAGTGCCTGAAGATGTCAGAAGAGGGTGTCAGATTTCCCTAGAACTGGAGTTACAGATGGCTCTGAGCCACCATGTGGATGCTGGGAATAGAACCCAGGACCTCAGGAAGGGCAACCAGAGCTCCTAACTTCTGAGCCATCTCTCCAGTACCAAATTCACTCATTTGAGAAATTTTTTTTCAAAAACATTTTCTTTTGTGAAACATACTTAGGGCAGTGTTATAATAATAGTATTACAGTGAACACCCCGACAGTACACATTCTGTCGTGCAGATCCACTTCTGGTCAGTGTTTTGTCTGTCTTTATGTGTGGGTGTGGGCATTCTTGTCACAGCATGTGTATGGAGTCCAGAGGACAGCTTGTAGCAGTTGGTTCTCTTTCCTCAATAAGGTCCTGGGAATTGAACTCAGTTTGCCAGGTTTTGGCAACCTTTACCTGCTAAGCCATCTTGGCAGACCATGATAAAAGTGAACTCTCTTGTGACAGTTTGCTTCCAACTGGACTTAACCTCTGTTCTTTTTAATGTAGTGATTGTAATGGCTAAGTCTGAATAATGTGATGTGTTCAACAGGTGCATTTATACTCACAGTTACAGTACCTCTTGTCTTAGGCCAATGGCAGGTGGCTTTTGCTTTTTAAGATTTTCTCATTTTTCACGAGTAATCGATAGTTTTGCAGCCCATATTTTTAATAGATCTAGATATGATTCTGTTCCAGCCTTTTAGGCCCCAGTTATCCCATTGATATTCTTTCTTAGTTGTTCTACAGTCAAGATCCAGTTCAAGATTAAGTAGTGTGTTTGTTGGCCTTTTAAGGATCCAGACAGTTTGTATTGGAGAACATATTTCAATTTAGATTATTACTTTGCCTTCTATGTTTAGTTTCCAGTTAATCATCTTAGACCAGTGGCTCTCAACCTTCCCAATTCCGTGGCCCTTTAATACAGTGCCTCATATTGAGGTAACCTCAACCATAAAATTATTTTGTTGCTGCCTCATAACTAATTTGGCTCCCGTTGTGACTCATAATGTAAATGTCTGATATGCCACCCATGTGAAAGGACCCTTTGACCCCCCAGGCGTTGTGTCCCACAGGTGGAGAGCTGCTGCCTTAGACACACATACTGCACTGGCAGTGCACTGGCTGTCCTTCAGGAGCCAGTATTAGTGATCAAGGGCATGGGCAGCATCGCTGAGGCTCTCCATTGTAAGGCACGCTTGGTAACCAGGCACTCTGAGGCTTATCACATGGCCACTGATGATGTGAGTTAGAAATGTGTTTTGCCTCCTGAAATCATACTGCAGTTATCCAGTAGACAGTGACAGGACAGACACAGCACACCATCAACATTTACAAATCTGCCAGGGCGCAGTGGCTCACGCCACTAATCCCAGCATTCGGGAGGCAGAGGCAGGTGGATCTCTGTGAGTTCAAGGCCAACCTGGTCTCCAGATTGAGTCCAGGACAGCCTAGGCTTTACAAAGAAACCCTGTCTCAAGAAGAAACGAAACTTGTTTGGACACAGCAAGGCATTTGAACATAAGAAGTCACAGCAGTTGTGACAACCTGCATACGATCATGCAGACAGAATTCCAGCATGTGAAGAGGATTATAGAGTTGAGGTCCTCGCTGAGGAGCTGTTGGCAATGGCTGCCGAGGGAAGGAAGGTCAGTTTCTTTAAGGAGGTGGCTCCTGAGAGACTACCCGTGTTCCAGTAGATTCCCTACACCTAGCCACATGGAAGCAGCCCAGAGTGGGCTCGAAAAGAAAAAAGAAACATAGGAAGTTGAGTGGATAACAGGAGGCAAAGAAGAATTAGAAGAGAGGAATGGGGTGAACTTAATCAAAACACATTATATGCTTTGTACTAAATTCTCAAAAAGTAAAAATGTAGAGAGTATATTAACATGTCATAGAAAATACAAGTTGTGAGCCAGCCAAGTCTGTAGAGCAAGTTCCAGCTGGGACAACCCGGTAGAACCCTGTCTCCAAGCCTGCGTTGGCTTGGATCACTTCCTGCATGTTAGTGTGTGCATCCACTTGCTTTCAAAAGTCAACAGTGAGCTTTGATCCTAGCTCTTGGGAGGCAGAGGCAGGTGGGTCTGTGTGAGGTGGAAGCCAGGCTGGTTTACAGAGAGAGTCAACAGAGAAAAAGGGGAAACATTTGTAAACAAATGTATGAAATTTGTAGAGGCAGTTGTGGACCTTGGTGAGCACTCAGGAGTCTGCCATGTGTACCGTTTGTCAGAAGAGGGCAGCACCGTCTGTCAAGTAAACACGAGACAGGTACCTCCTTTTCATTAATTACAAATTCACACACATGCACTTTATTTATACTTCGCAGTAATACATGCTAATTTTTAAAAATTATATATTTTTGGAATATGTAACAGAACAAGTGAGTGTTTTCAAAATCCTTCCTCATGAAGGACTACATAAGCTTGTTAAAGCCTGCTGTATCCGTGCACTCCTGTAATCCCAGCACTTGGGAAGGGGAACCTGGGGTACGTATATATGATTATGTATGTATCTAATTATACAGTCATTATGCTGTACATGGTATATTTATATATTGTATATATAATGGAATACATATATTTAAACCTGTTGATAATCGCTGTTGGCAAGATTTTTTTTTTGGGTCTCAAGGTAGGGTTTCTTAGACTGGCCTCAAACTCAGAGATTTACCTTCCTTTGCCTCCATAGTGCTAGGATTAAAGGTGTGAGCCACAACCTCCAGCCTATTGGCAAGACTTTTTAAAGAAATATTACTTAAGGTAATTAAAGAACTTTTTTGAAGGATCTTAGGAGATTTGAACTTTGACTACCCAGGCACAAACTTGGTGTTTGGGATTGAGCATGTCTTTTAATCTCTCAACATCATTATTTTGTTTCTTCTTTTTGTCTTTGTCTCAAATTAAGGGTGCCATGCATCATTCAAGAAACGTGAAAGAAGTGGAAGCCCAGAGACTGCTCAGTCTCCAAGTGGGCGCCCTAGTAAGGGGAGCAGGGCTGCCTCTGACGTGAACTCAGTGGCTGGCTCTCTGATCACCTCCCTCTGGGGGGTGTAGCCTTGCCAAGACACAGAGGAAGATGATGCAGCCAGTCCTGATGAGACCTGATAGGCTAGGGTCAGATAGAGGGGGATGAGGTTCTCCCCTTTCAGGACTAGGGAAAGGGCATAGGGAGAGAAGAAGGATGGTGGGTGGGACTGGGAGGAGACCAGGGAGGGGGCTACAGCGGGGATACAAAGTAAATAAACTGTAATAAATAAATTAATTTAATTAAAATTTAAAAATGTAAAAGAGCTAGTAGGAGAAATTTCTAAGTTTAAAAATGAGGTAGTATTATCATGAAATTAATCTTTTAGTTTCTCAAACTTTGTTGTAATGGTGAAGTTTTGGATTCTTCAGTGAAAACTATTAATTTTTTAAGCCTTGGGAAAGGGAGGAAATGATCAATTC